TTAGTAGGGCTAAGGTCAGGCTGGGAATCGACAATACTATCAAATTGGTCGACGAAGCTCAAATAGGATCCGCTTTGGCCATTAAAGGTAGGAATAGGTAAGTCAGGTAGTTTATTTTTAATACACATTAGAGGAGAAGATATTAATGGAAGCCGCTTAGGAGTGCTCGACTCTGTAGGGGGATCATGGAACAATTCAAGCTGCAACTCACTAAACCTAAGCCGCAACTCATCTACCATAGGCCGCATTGACTTAGATAAGGTTAGGGTATCTTTATACTCCTTCGTATCAATCACCGGGTCAAAACCGCCAAGGAGACAAGAACACGTTTCATTAAATTTAGCATAGTTCTCATTCAGTTCAGAAAGCCGCACGATAAGCCTATCACGTGACGCAGAAGGCAGCAAAGTATAAGCATCCGTAATCCAGTCACTGATCAATCGAACAGTATCCATTGACTGACGATACTCAACAGTCTCACTGAATAAACACGCTCTCACCGTATCATTAGGATTCGACATCTTTATTTTAATTATTAATTACCACAAACAGAAGAAATATTTAATAAAATATAAAGATATAACTCACGAATATTTATAAAGGCCAAATAAAATATAATAATAAAAATTATTATTATATTATCAATAATCAACTATATTTTCAAACAAATCAAGAATGTACCTAAATATTACTTAATACAGAGTGAGCATACAAAGTACCATAAACACAATATACACAAAACACTGGGTTTGTGCAAACAGTCCAGTGATGTCACTTTACCATTCTCACTAAATGACCTTAACAGGCATTTCTCTTCCTCCGTCCCGCTTAATGCGTCTATCAAGAGAGCAACTTTAGATAAAATTGCTTCCTGGCCTAAGTTTTCTACAAATCCATTTTCATTCTCTTCAGTGACCGCCGAGGAGATCCGCAAAATTATATCTTCTTTAAAATCCAACTGCGTTGGTACTGATGATGTGAGTAGAGTTATGATTACTCTCATACTTAACCACGTACTACCTCTAATCACTCACATTGTCAACTGTTCGCTACTTTCTGGTTCGTTTCCTTCCGAATGGTTAAAGGCTTTTGTTCTACTGCTTCCTAAAGTGTCATCTCCAAACAATTTGAAAGATTATAGGCCCATCTCTATTTTGCTCTATCTCTCCAAAATCCTGGAAGCTGTGGCTCACAAACAGCTCTCAAATTTCATTTTTCACAATAAACTTGTGAGCCCCTTTCAGTCCTGGTTCCGTACCGGACATAGTACTAATACGGCACTTCTAAAAGTAACTGAGGATGTGAGAGATGGTATGGAGAACTCCAAAATTACCATTCTTGTCTTAATTGATTTCTCTAATGCTTTTAATTCAGTCGATCATGATATCCTCCTTGCTATGCTCTCTCATCTTGGGATCTCCTCTGTGGCCTTAAATTGGTTCCAGTCTTACATTCGAGGTCGTCAGCAGGCCGTTCGCATCGACCAGACTAACAATATTAAATTGGTTTACATGTAATAACCTATTATTAAATTCCAGCAAAACAAAATGTATAAAATTTACACTTCCTAATGTAAGACTAATAAATACACAGTTATTGCTTAATGACGAAATAGTAAATTTTGTTAATGATACAGTTTTTTTAGGTATAACAGTGGACTCGAAATTACAATGGGGGCCCCATATTTCAAAATTGGCCAGTAGACTCAGTTCTGCTGCATATGCAATTAGAAGAATTAGGCAATTAACAGACGTGGCGACGGCTAAACATATTACGGCTAAGTATATTTTAGTTATTTCCATAGCATAATGTCTTATGGCATACTGCTGTGGGGTAAAGCAGCCGATATAAATACTATATTTGTTTTACAAAAGAGAGCCATACGTTCTATTTATGGTATGGGTTCAAGAGAGTCATTACGTCAGTGCTTTAAAGACTCAAATATCCTCACAGTTACTTCACAATACATTTATGAAAATATTATGTATACACGGAAGAACTTAGAGAGTTTTAAAAAACTCAAAGACTGTACAAGTAGAAACTTACGCAATATAAATAAGCTTATTTTACCTAAATGCCGTCTGCACAAAATCAGTAATTCATTCTATGGTAATTGCATAAGATTTTATAATAAACTGCCAGAATCTGCATTAAATCTGACAGAGAGGCAATTCAAATCTTATATTAAACAATTTTTATGTAAGAAAGCCTATTACAGGATAGACGAATTTATAGATGACAACATATCAAGTAAATAATTAGTTTATTAGCATACAACGTTATAATTTTATTTTCTCATTGCTTTCTTGATTTAATTGATTGATTTTAGAAATATGAAAGCGTAGCGGTTTTTGTATTAATTGCCGCATGCATTCTTATGTAAAATGTGAATACTATAACAATCAGATGGCAATTGTGAGTAGCTTTGACGTGGTCTAGTGTTTTGAGTAGTCATGCTCACTAAAATGTCCAGACTTGTGGCGGCGTGGTGGGCCGGGTCATTGGGCTCCCTAAAATATGGTCGAGCGCAGTGATGGCTGGCTCATCCGTCATACTCGTGAACGGGTGCTGCTTGTAGGGACTGGTCTGCTCTAATCACTATGACTGATTTCCTCTTATTAATTGTTTAACCAGTTGGTTATGTATTCAATATTTTTTCTTTTTGAGTATTTAATTGAATTAGTGCTAATTGGTGGTTTGTATTCACACACTTAAACTTAAAAATGTAAAGTAATAATAAAATTATTTAAAAGAGCAACACGCAAGTTTCTTGCTCGTTCTTCTTGTGATGAGACTTTCTTGAGGTTTCCGAATGAGCGGTAGATTAAAAAAATGTAATGACTATTCAGAAGTGCTTCTATGTAAGTTTATTTGAATAAATGATTTTCTATTCTATTCTATACTATATCTGATTGGTGCGAATTGGCGGCTGGTGTTCCTCAAGGCGGTATTCTATCTCCTTTGCTTTTTTCTATTTTCATTAATTTCATCACTAATAACCTTGACTGCTCTTACCATCTCTATGCCGATGATTTGCAGCTCTACTGCCAGGCTGAGGTCGAAAAAATCTCTGAAGCCGTAAATATGGTGAATGAATCACTTGACTACATTTTCGACTGGTCGGTCCGGTTCGGGGTCAATGTCAATCCCAGCAAATGCCAAGCGATTATATTGGGTGGCTCGAGGCAACTTGGCAAAATTAATATGAGTACGGTTCCTCCAGTGCTATTCAATGGAATAGCTCTATCATATTCCCCGCATGTTAAAGATCTTGGTGTAACAATTGACAGTACTCTCAGCTGGACAAATCACGTTGATGAGGTGAGCCGTAAAGTTACCTACACATTGCGTAATTTATACCGTTTTAAGAATTTCCTACCTAGCAGTACTAACCTTACTAATTCAATCCCTCGTGCTCCCCATTATTGATTATGCTGATGTGTGCTGCTCTGACATGAATGAGGACCTCTTAAATAAATTGGATCGTCTTCTTAACAATGCTATCCGTTTCATTTTCGGTCTTCGCAAGTACGACCATATCTCCCTTTATCGTTCTAAGCTTAAATGGCTTCCAATCCGCCAACGCAGAATTGTTCGCCTCTTGTGTACATTGTATTCAGTCCTATACGATCCAAACACTCCTGAGTATCTTAAGACCAAATTTCTTTTTCATAGGGACATCTCTCACCGTAATCTTCGTCCGTCTAGGAATCTACTCTTGCACGTTCCTGCTCATCGTACGAGCTTCGTCTCTAAATCTTTCATGCTTCATGCTATTAAACACTGAAATGCTTTGCGCCTTGACATTAAATCGAGTACTACCAAATTTACCTTCAAATCCAAGTTAAGAAAACATCTCTCCAACGACTTTTGTAATTAAATTAATACATTAATGTAGTGTTAATTTATCTCCCGCTTTCACTATTGATTTGTCATGATTGATTATATCTCATTGTTGATTTGTATTTGGTATATATGTATAAATTTTAAATGTATTTTATTATGTACTTGAATGTATATGTATATATATATATATATATATATAATATATATATATATATATATATATATATATATATATATATATATATATATATATATATATCAATTAATTGTGTTGATCACTTTATACACTCGTCCTTCCTGCGATACTTACTTTCATCCGAATATATATAGATACCGTAACGGTCTATCAATTATGAAATTAGAATAAATTAAATTCATAAGATTATTCATATATTTCGACTGCCTCGGTGGTCACACCGCTTTACATCCGATGGTCGCGGGTTCGATTTCTCGCACGGTGCAAACATTTGTACTCATCGGTCATCGATTGTTTTCATCGGTCTGGGTGTTTTATATGTATATTATATATGTATTTACAAAATAAAAATATCTATTTATATCAGTTCAGTATCAGTCTGTGTTAATTGTCCAGGGCTATTTATTATATTTTTATAAACGGTTATCTTTTTCCATCGCACCGCTCGCTATCGACAGTGAATTCATAGAAATGTCATTGTGGGGGTTTAAGCCCACAGTTCCGTGATAATGCTATTGATTGATTGATGAGGGGTTTTTGTTAAATAAAACCGCCTTGGTTGAATGCTACTCGAACACTGATTTCTATTACTAAAATAAATATAATGAGGTAAAGTGAAATTGCATGTGCAGGCAATTGTGTATTGCACAGTAAGCAGGCATGTGCGGTTGCCCGTACATCCTGCCGCCACACGAAATGAGAGCATGCATGTGAGATAAAATGCTTGAATGATATTAATGATAAGCAATGCTCTGATGGGGTATGTAATACAAGGTGATTAACAATTTCTTACAATCTACTTAATACTTAAATGGTACAAGTTAAGGATGATAACAAGATGATAAACAAAGTCCTGTATATTAAATGCTAACTTATAATCTAAATTGTTTGTGTCCCTGAATCTACACTGGGAAATATAAATTTAACGTTTCGCGAAGAAACGGATTTTGTGTTGTCCTTAATGTCTCTGATCACTACGCGCACTAATGTCCTTCCACTGCACTTCACTAACACCTAAACACTGATCACTTAACACACTTTCGCGGGACTCGCCTAACCTTGTAGGCGGGTGCTCCCGCGCCTGTAGAGGTGGTTCAACCTGCTCCTTCCGATGTCTCTGTTTAATTTTATTGACTACACAGATTCCTCCCACGACACATAGCACGAATATAATTATGTACAATAATGTGTAATGATGGATGTCGTGATGTGATAAGCTGCTCAAGTTCGCCTGCTCCTTGATATTAGCTATTTGGGAACCCAATTGATCCCATTGGGTTTGATGACTTTCGATGGTAAGATTTAGTGGCAGTGTGGTATTAATTATTGAATTTAGGATAGACCTATGTGGGGCTTCAATTTCGGGATTTATATTAATTTCAATAATAAAATTATTGTGTGCGTAGATGGTAAATAAATTTCCCTTTATGATGCAACCTTCATGTATACTGATAATTCCACTTCCGTGCAGAGTGTCAGTGACAATATCAGATATACATAACAAACGTATCTGACACTGCCCACAACAATGAAATAGCCAGACATTCTGTCGTCGTAATTTGAGCCATGAATCTTCACACGGCGCTTGCTTTGTTTTGCAGACTGATGAGTTGGCACTGTCTGTGAACCTGATATCGCATAGGGAATGTTTTATTTTTAAATCATATACGGGCTTATTTAGTGTGCATAGTTTTTTGTCGGATGATATGTGGATGCATGATTGTAGATCAATATCTGTGAAGAAGATTGCCATGTCCTTTCTCAGATTAAATGCTATGTAAGTGGTAGGTGGAATAATAATGTAAGTTTTATTCGACCTTCTTTGTGGTATACTTAAAATTTGATCCAGTTCATATATTTCGTTACTCAATAATGGGATTTTTACTTGAACGATCAATAATTTATTAATTATTCTAGCTGATATTTTTAGCAATTTATATAGTTCTTTTATTTCAGTCCTTCCCACCGGTAGTGTGAGATCACCACGCAATTGACTGAGGATAATGCTAATTTGATTTGCTAATTGTTCAGGAGATAATAAATGAGGGTCAATGTGACCTTGAGATATATTGATCACTGTATCAAGGAGTGTAGTTTGTATACGTCTCAGATGTGATAAAAGTATGCTTGCTGATAGGCCAGATGATATGATATGTACATCCTCTTGTTGCCTAGATCGATCCAATTGTACTTGTGATGTCATATTATTTAAATACTCTCTAATGAATGAAAATTGTTGATTCATATATTGTTCGTTACGACGTAATATATTGTATTCAGCCTCCAAGATTGAAGTTTGATTTTTATATAATTTTAACAGATGCTCTTCATTTTGTGATATTTTTTCGATATCTTGGTGGTATTGCTCAGCGAATCGCTCGTCCAGTACTCCAAATAAGCTGTTAGCAACATATCCAACTCCATTTATTAGCCCTCTCTTGACTCTATTTGGAGAGTTTTGAAGCAATGTATTGTAATGGCGAATTTCATTTAGTTCGTGATCTAATTGAGGGGCAATATTACGTATATACGATTGTGTAGTTGATGCGTTGTTTAGGTTTCTAATATATTTCAGGTAATGTTCTATTTCAGATACGCCTTGCCAATATGGTGTCATGTTATAATATACGACGAGATTCCATTCATCTCTGATTATTTGGAGATCTGATATTTTATCAAAATATAGACCTTGATCATTGTTTAGTTGAGTGATATTGTACGGCTGGACCTCAAGTTGCATTGTTGGGGTAAACAACATGAACATCATGAGGAGCGCTGTATAGACATAAGTTAAAAATGATTTAGGCTTACGTGTACATTTTGATTTCGTGATATTCTCCCTTTCTGCTTGATTTTTGCTCAATGAAGAAGGTTCATCGGTTACAGGTAAAAGTACTAATTTTGAAATTGGTCGTTTCACCATATTGCTATGTGTTTTTAAAGTTACAACCCTTACATGACCGTCTTTTCCAGGGTGCAACTCTTGTATGCGACCTAATGCCCACCTTCCAGGAGGTAAACTTTCCTCTTTTATTAGGACAACGTCATTGATAGCAAGGTTTCTGCTGACTGCTCTCCATTTAGATCTTGTTTGTAATTGCTGTAGATATTCATCGGACCATCTTTTCCAGAAATGTTTATTCATTGACTGTACCAACTGCCATCGCGTTGTACTCTGCATAATATGTGGTTCCGATTGTGGTCGTGATAATAATGCTCCTCCCACCAGGAAGTGACCTGGTGTTAAATATTCATCATCTGCATTTTCTGATAATACGCAAAGTGGCCTCGAGTTCAAACATGCTTCGATCTGACATAGTAAAGTGGTGAACTCTTCATAGGTCAGCTTCTGTTCACCTATAACACGTTTGAGGTGATATTTCAGGCTACCCACTGCTCTTTCCCATAGGCCCCCTGCACTGGGCCATGCTGGAGCATTGAAATGCCACTGAACTTCCATTTCAGTAACTTTATTGATAAATTCGTGATTGATATAAGATAAGATTTCCTTATATTCTCTTTTTAAACAGCGGTCGGCACCTACAAAGTTGGTCCCATTGTCACTATACATATGCTGTGGGGTTCCACGTCTACTGCAAAACCGACGAAAAGCTGCTAGAAATGCTGGTGTACTGAGATCTGATACGAGCTCCAAATGTATAGCTTTTGTTGAAAGGCAGACAAAAACTGATATATAACCTTTACTAGTCCTTATACCCCTTCCCTTGTTGACCTTCAGTTCTACAAATCCAGTGTAATCTACTCCTGTATGTGTAAAGGGTCTAGAGGGTGTAACTCTAGGCTGAGGTAAGTCTGCCATAATTTGATTCTGTTCATGATGATTATAGCGCCTGCATTTAACACATTTTCTCAGCTGTCGCTTCACTGTTCGTATACCTGATATAATCCAATATTTATTTCTGATATATGATAGGGTAAGTTTTGGACCTCCATGCAAAGTTGCTAGGTGTGCTTGGTGAATAATCAACTCTGTAAGACGACTATTACTACCTAAAATAATTGGGTGCTTTGCTGTGTAACTGAGTATTGAATTATTCAGTCTCCCTCCTACTCTCAAAATTCCATCGGTATCCATAAAGGGGTTTAAATTTCCTAAACTACTTTTAGTTGAAACTAATTGCTTTTTATTTAAATTACTAATATCTTCTAAAAATTGATACGCTTGATATGACTTAATTATTAAATTCATTGACCGCTTCATTTCTTCGAAAGACAATGTGTCTACACGTGTCGTATTCTGCTGACACCGCGCGCGCTCAGTAAAACGCAATACCCATGCTAATATACGAGTAAGTTGTGTTAAAGAGCTATAATCATTTAATAAATTCATTATAAATGATTGCTCATTTTGATATAAGGCTACATTCACACAAGCCTTTTTTATTTCAATATTTGGTGATTGATATTTTTCTTTTACCATACTGTTAGGGTTAAATCTTAATAACCACCTTGGACCTTCCCACCACAGACGACAATTTTCCAGATGAGATGATGTCATTCCCCTGGTTGCACAATCCGCAGGATTTTCATCTGTTTTAACGTGATGCCATTGTGATGGAGGTATAATATCAGTAGCTTGCTGAACTCTATTTGCAACAAACTCCTTCCATCTTGATTTGTCACCCTGTAGCCAACCCAAAACAATCATAGAGTCAGTCCAAGCATAAATTTGAACATTTTTATACGTTAATGATTTGACTACTTTATGTATAAGTTGCGATAATAAAACTGTACCACACAATTCTAGTCTCGATAATGATACTTTTTTGTTCAGTGGTGATAATTTTGTTTTTGCCGCTACTAGCGTTGATGTGAAATTGCCCTTACAGTCTGTGCTGACAATATACACAGCACAAGCGTATGCTTTTTCTGATGCATCGCTAAATCCGTGTAATTGTATATTGTTATTATTTTGACCCAGATACCTTTTAATAGTGAATTTATTTATCGTTTTAAAGTCGTTTTCTAATTGATTCCAATCTTGTATGATATCATATGGTAACTGAGTATCCCATGACAACCCTGTGGCCCACACTCTCTGAAAGATTAATTTTGCTCTAATAGATACTGGTGATAGCCAGCCTAGGGGGTCAAATAATTTTGCTATTGATGATAATAAATGTCTTTTTGTGTATGATTTGCTATTTGATTCATATGATATGTTTTGATATAAGAATGAGTCACCTGATGGACTCCACTGTAATCCAAGTGTTTTTCTACTCTTTTTACATTTGAATTCGTATGGTGAGTCGAGCATTTCTGGCGACAAGTCTTCTACGAGTCTTGTGTCGTTACTGGACCACTTGCGAATGTTCATGCCTGCGCCCCTCAGTATTGATATGATCTGTCTTTGTAGTTCTTTTGTTTGTTCAAGAGAGTCTGCACCGCCCAATAAATCGTCCATATAAAATGATTGTTCTAATGCTGATGCTGCTAAGGGATATATATCGCCGTCATCTTGTGCTAACTGCCTGAGTGTTCTCATGGCTAAATATGGCGCGGCCTTGGTGCCGTAAGTGACTGTCGTTAAATGATATGTTTGTAGTGGTTCAATCTCTGAACTCCTCCATATAATTGATTGTAGTATCTGATCTGATTTTCGAACCATGATTTGGCGAAACATTTTCTCAATGTCAGCCGTGATAACATATTTATATTGCCTCCATTTTATGATCAGCCCTTGAATGTCATGTTGTAAATTAGGACCACACTCCATTAAGTCGTTTAAGCTATAACCAGATGATGTTTTAGAAGAGGCATTAAACACAACTCGAAGTTTTGTGGTAGTGGAATCTAATTTAGTTACACCATGATGCGGCATGTAGAATAAGGGTTGTTCAGTGCTATTGGTTTTACGCATATGGCCTAGATCTTTATACTCGTCCATGAATCCTTTATATCCGACGAAAAATGATGTATTCTTTGTTAATTTATGCTCTAATTGCTTAAACTGTGCTATAGCTCGTTCCTTTGATTTACCAATATGTTGCTCAAATCCTGGTTTCATTGGTAGCGCAACTTCATATTTCCCATCTTCTAAACGTTTTGTTGTGTCCATGTAGATGTTTTCACAACGTTGCTCTCCCTCTGATAGTGGTGATAAACTGCTTGTGATATCTTCTATTTCCCAGTACTGAGATATCTCACTTAGGTCGTTGATCACAACGTGACAATTAAATGTTTTTATTCCCACGCGACCTGAGACTATCCAGCCCAGTTCTGTTCGCTGTGCTATAGGTTCATCCCTATGTCCTTTTATCAAACCGTCTAAAATTATCTCCGAATATATATTGGTATTTAATAAAATGTCTATGTTGCTTGAAGTGTTATAATCAGGGTCTGCTAAAGGTAAATTTTTAAGTGATGAAAATTACTTATATCGAATGATGTAGTAGGCAGATTGCGAACTATTTTTCTCGGCATAATTAGTGCTTCGGCAACAAACTCATAGTCGTTACGTAACGATTTGCAGTCCAGTAGAACTTTTCCCCTGCTTTGATTTGGTGATTCTCCTATACCAGCAACGGAAGCGTTCAAATGTTCACGAGGCAATCCTAACAGTTGTACGGCACTTTCCGTTATCATAGTAACCTGCGAACCTTGGTCTAATAAGGCCCGTAGAGTTACATACGACCCATCGCTTGATAATACCTGCATTTGTATAGTTGTTAATAACATTTCATCATTATTTGCTACATAATTAGCGCTATATCGTTTGTCAGCTGATTTTGCAAAATTTTTATTATTCATTTGTGGTGACCTCTTTATCTGAAACGCGTCGTGGAGCATCGTATTATGCTCGCCGTTGCATTCCTTACATCGCTTTGTTGAAAAACAATTAGTGTCATGTTTGTATAGACAATTTGGACATATATTAAGTTTAGTCACTGTCGCCAATTTTGATTTTGGTGACAGGTCAATGAACTGATTACATTTAAATAAATCATGGTCTTGATTGCATTGTGGACATTTATATGTCTTCGTAGTTACTGCTTGAAAGAATGGTTTTTGATATGGTTTATCTATTTTATTACGGCCTGTATTATTATGAGAATAATTATTTATGCTAGGTCTCCCAGTGCTCATAAATCTAAATGAATTTGATGATGATGGTTTGCTTATGTGGTGCTGTGACACCTTTTCAGTTGTCACTACCCTTTCCTTCCTGCTTATGGGTTCGAGAGCTGTAAATTTACTCTCTAGGAATCCCATAAATTCGTCTAAAGCTGGCAGACTCCTGGGATCCTTACGAGCTTCCATATAGGCAGCATACGTTAAATGATCTAATTTTTTTGATAATATATGGACTAATAATGGGTCCCAGGTTGTTGTATCAATGCCAAGATTGTGAATGGCATGGATACATTCCATGCTAACGTCGTGCAGCTTTTTAATATCGAATGACGTTTGTTTGCTTATATTGGCTTGATTTAATAATATCTCAATATGCTTTGTGAATAGAATTTGTGGGTTATTATAGCGGTGCGTTAAGATTTCCCACGCGGTGTCATAATTATCTGAGGAGATGGTGAGATGGTGAATGAGACGTTCAGCTTCTCCTTTTATTTTACCCTTGAGGTGCTGCATTTTTTGTGATTTTGACAATGTGTTATTATTATGAATGGCCTCATAAAATAGGTCATGAAAAGTAGGCCAATGGGTGTATTGACCTGTGAAGGTTGGTATCTCCAGCTGTGGTGTTGAATTGTTTAAGTGAGCTGCTGAACTTAGTTTTTTATTTAATCTCCGCTTTATAGTTCTGTATGATGTTTCATAGCTCGCGAACTCTGTATCATAGTCTACATCTTCTCCTTGCAAAATGTTGTCTATTTGAAGATGTAAATTTTCGATAGTACTCCACCGTGATTGTATACTACTAAGCTCATCCTCCAACTCCCATTTTTCATCTATGCTATCCAAATTTACGCTCAATAAAAGACGATTAAAAGCCCTAAAATTTGTTCTTTGTAAAGTTAGTAATTCGTCTGCCTTTTGGTTACGCTGAGTGCCCTTATCTTCTTTATTAAAAGAAATTAATTTTGATATTATGTCTTGGAAAACATCTTTCGTTTTTTGATAAATGTTATCCCGAAAATACTGCGCAGATTTATCCTCGTATGAAGATAACTCTACGTGATTCTGTTCGAACTCTCCCCACAAGTTATTTAAGGTTTCTATCCTATTTTTTAGATAATCCGATGTTTTTCTAGAGGATGAGTCCTTATTAAAATTTATTCTTATTTTATTTATTGATTCAAATATGTCAGCCTGACGCTTGATTAGCTCCATCTTATATTTTAATAGCTAATAATTAAAGGAACAGTCTTACTTGATCTGCTTCTCACTCTGCTGTTGATGATGATGTTCTGCTATGCTGCTGATGATGCTCTGCTCTGATGCTGATGATGCTCTGCTCTGATGCTGATGATGCGATGTCTGTGAACCGTGCTCTCGGCCCACGTGACACCACTTACAGGATTCCGCGATTGTCACTTTTTAAAGTTCTTCAACGCGAGATCCCGCCTTCGACCGAACAGGAGTAAGGTCAAAGACTCAAAGGACCAAAGAATGTGGGGGTTTAAGCCCACGGTTCCGTGATAATGCTATTGATTGATTGATGAGGGGTTTTTGTTAAATAAAACTGCCTTGGTTGAATGCTACTCGAACACTGATTTTTATTACTAAAATAAATATAATGAGGTGAAATGTATAGAAGTGAAATTGCATGTATAGACAATTGTGTATTGCACAGTAAGCAGGCGTGTGCGGTTGCCCGTACAGTCACTCTAAAAACAAAAATAGTTTTGTGTTTTGTATTTCAAATACTAAATGCAAAGAAGGTATTTTCAAAATACTTTTTCAAAATAAAGTACCAGTTGAATTTTTGTCCAAAACTCAGATATTTTATTTATTTTAGGTATATCAATCATTACATAGTGTAGTATAAAACAAACTCGCTGTCGCATCTAACAGTACATAAACAAAGAAAGAAGACTTTTTGGCTCTGATACCGTAACGGCCTATCAATTATGAATTTATTATACCTAATCTAGATATTTTATATTCGCAATGCTACATACATTGTAATATCCGCCTCCATTCATTGTAACGGTGGAGGGACTAAATAGTTGAATAAAACTGAATAAGCAGTTGCTCCACTCTATAGGTACTGCGTCGTCGTCGTATGCTGTTCATTTTTTCACTCGTTTTGGCGCCAAGAGAGGGTCACATAGTCGTGGTCAAGTTAAGAACTTATAATTTAATTTTGATAACAATAGATACAAGTAAAAAGTAGGTATTATATTAATGTACGTAAGTACTGTACTTAAAAATATTTATTCTTTATTGTACATTTGAAAAACTTAACACTTAAGGACTAGTACATATACACGTACATACTGCCATTTTCTCTTAAAGACATCCAGAAAAGCACTATTTATCAAATACGCGGGGTGCCGACTTTGACCTTATAACAGCTGATTCGCGCGTAACGAATTACATTGCTACTTTTTGGTATTTTATAGTGGATATATCACTACAAAATATTATTATTTCTTTAGATTATGGCATAATAACATTGTTTACATGATTTTAAGGGAAACATACGATAAAAAAAATTCCCGTAAAATGTAAAAGATAAAAAATGGTTATTTTTGGTTATCCTTAAGAGATAGACATATACCATCACGGACTTTTTTGTTGACCTTATTTTGATACATCTCAAAGCACTAGACAATACGCATTTTCATTAAACAGTATTGTATTTTTTTATTTCTTTAACTTTAATGCACAAAAAAATTTGTACATGTGGCGGACTTAATATTTTGCCGCGTTATTTACCAGGCAACCATGAGTGGTGCAGCGAAAGATTAGTGGCGGTGCACTAATATAAATAAGAAATGTCAAAAAAAGATTTATAAAGACAATAAAGATAAGCAAAATATACATTTCTATAAAAAAATAACAATATACATACATAAATATAACCCATAAATGTATAAATATTATATATAAGTAAATACATAATGATCCGATAATCAAATTATAAGTACAGTCTCAAATTGAAAGTAAGAAAAACAGAAAATATATAGAGAACTATAGGGATATAACAGAAAGATGTGAAAAAAGGAGAAGGACAGTAAAAAAGTTACAAATTTAAATAATGTTGCCGCAATTTCTGTTTAAATGAATTTATTACATTATTATATATATTAGACATACGACTAGCCTTATGACTGTTACTTTTTTTAAATCTATACATCTATACATGTAAATAAAATTGGAGTGTCTGTTTGTAATATTGAAATAACCGTTTTTTACTACTTGCATATGAATATAAATACGGTACATACACCAAAATAACATATTTTACAAGTTTTGTCTGTCTGTCTGTCTGTTTGTTCCGGCTAATCTCTGAAATAGCTGGACCGATTTTGACGGGACTTTTTTTGGCAAGTAGCTGATGTAATAAGGAGTAACTTACGCTACTGTTATTTTAGAAAAATAAAATAAAATTTCACGCGGACGAAGTCGCTGGGGCCAGCTAGTCTATAGATATACCGAGATTTAATGTTTAAGTTACTATTATGTTGTTGACAAAATTTTACTGTAATGTTACTATTACGTTATCCTACACAATTTGTATTATTTTGGATGAATAAATAAATAAATAAATAATAATCTATACATCTATACATATAAATAAAATTGGAGTGTCTGTTTGTAATATAGAAAAAACCGTTTTTTACTACATGCATATGAATATATATAAGGTACATATACCAAAATAACAATTTTTATAATTTTTGTCTGTCTGTCTGTCGGTCTGTTTGTTCCGGCTAATCTCTGAAATGGCTGGACCGATTTTGACGGTACTTTTTTTGGCAGGTAGCTGATTTATAAGGAGTAACTTAGGTTACATTTATTTTAGAAAAATAAAGTTAAATTCCACGCGGACGAAGTCGCGGGAACAGCTTGTTTTTAATAAAAACGGTTTATTCGATAGAAAAAACATCTTTTTTGTGGTACTTGAGGATGTTGAAGCCTGTTGTTTGAAATATTGAAATAATAGTTTTTGACTACGAGCATATGAATATAAATACGGTACATATACTAAAATTTATTTTTTTACAATTTTTGTCTGTCTGTCTGTCTGTTTGTTCCGGCTAATCTCTGAAATGGCTGGACCGATTTTGATGGGACCTTTTTTGACAGGTAGCTGATGTAATAAGGAGTAACTTAGGCGACTTTTATTTTAGAAAAATAAAGTTAAAAACCACGCGGACGAAGTCGCGGTAATAGCTAGTGTATAATATATTAGAGATACCTACGTGTTTTTTTTTATTGATGACTAGCTGTACACGGGATTTCGTCCGTGTTGAATTTAACTTTATTTTTCTAAAATATAAGAAGTTAAATTCCACGCGGACGAAGTCGCGTGTAAAGCTAGTTGTCGGTAGTCTAGCGATTTAGCTAGCACACCGCTTTGATTCCTGCTTGGTGGTCGAGGGTTCGATTCCTCGCACGCTGCAAACATTTGTATTCATGAGTATGATTGTTTGTAACGGTCTGGGTGTTTTCTATGTATAGATAATATATACGAAATTTACGGAAAAAAATCTTTGTATTTATATCAGTTGTCTGGTACCCATAACACAATGTTCAGCTAGCTTAACTTGGGTCTAGATGAAGCTGTGTGAATTGTCCTGAGATTACTATTATTACTATAATAAATCTTTTCAAATCAGCCGATGTTTATTTTTGCCATAATACGTGCTGTTACCATGTGATAATATTACGTACTTACTGTTTGATAATGTGATAATATTACGTACTTATTACTGTTTTAAATGTGATGCATTCATTATTTATATTTCCTTTAAATTAAAGACAAGTGTATATATATATATTACGCGCACTTAGTTGCACACTTATGTTGATCCATCCACGACCCGTAGATACATTTGCTGACTCCACTGTCTCTCTCTTTCTACCACTATAACGGTATCGTGGCGGAACGGCAACATGTTGCCGTTCCGCGTTCCCGCGTGTTCCCTAGATAAAGTATTCGTCGATAGTACCTGTACTCGATATATATTTTTTCAACAATTTCCTGCAATAGTGACTCCGTATCAGCAAATTTTTTTAAATGCACAAAAACTTTTTGGCTCTGAATATATTTAAAAAATCGTTTACTTGTGTGTTGATGAATTTATATACTAGTACATGAAGTACCTAAAATACTTGTTTTGATCCGAATAGGTAGCGATATTATGAATTTATTATACGTAATCTAAAGATTTTGACGAAATAAGAGTAATTAGTTATCTGTTAACCTTGACTTCATGCTGGCACCAGTATTATCAGATGATGAACATACTCTTCGAAAACTTACAGCAGAAATATCGTGTTTGGACTCATTAGATTGGTCTCGATGAATAGAGTTTAAAGAACTTAAAATAAATGGTAAATTAGAAATAACGTATAAAAATACCCTACGCAAAATTCAACCACTTTAAAACTTAATAATGATAATTAGGAAAAGAGCAAAGCTATAAGTGCACTGAAAGTAATTGATGGCTTCCACACAATATTTTCAGTACTAAACAACTCTGTTTGTTCAGTAAAAGTGTAAATATACTGGTAACCTTAATCATATTTTATATGCAAACATTACATATGCGAACCCTAAAGTTTTATTTCAGAATGGCCAGTAGTTTTCAAGAAATGTCTTTGAAATTGTACGTGTAACTTATATATATATACTAGTTTTTTCACCACAGCACACAACACCAAAATGGCCTAGTTAGTAGTGTGCCTGTGTACCGATTTATCACACAGATACTCCGAGTTCGAATCCTACACTTTTTTTTATTATTATTATTTTTTTTTTATTTTAATATTTTAATAATTAATTTAATTTATACGATTATTAATTTATAATAAAAATGTAGTTAAGTATTAAATTAATTTTACTAGTTAGGAGTGTACCTGTGTACCAACTTACCACACAGACACCCCGGGTTCGATTCCCACCATTGACTATTGTTATTTACTTCTTTTTGTTTTTTTTTAATTTAATATTTTAATAATTACATTAATTTATACGAGAAAAACGTAGTTAAGTATTTAATTAATTTTACTAGTTAGGAGTGTACCTGTGTACCAACTTACCACACAGACACCCCGGGTTCGATTCCCACCATTGACTTTATTTTGTTTTTTTTAAAGTAATATTTAAAATTAACTATTTTAATAATTAAATGAATTTAATCGATAAAAACGTTATT